ATGACTGTTAAGCAGAGAAAACTTTGGTTTGCACCGAGTGTGTTTTCCTTTGTTTTTATCGGGTTGATTCTATTGTTAACCCATAAGAGTAACCACCTCGTGCGGGCATTGGTCAGCTGGGTCTGGACCCTTCTTATCATGTTTTCATAAAACAAAATGAAAAGGAAACCAAAAAAATACCAAAACTAAAGAAGATCCTCTTCCCTACTGGATACTAGTAGGAGCCGTTTTTTTAACCTATTTTGTCTACTTGGTGTTTATCTACGCAGTAACCTCAAACCCGAAAATTCCCTAGACTTGTTAGGTGGATTTTCGATTATGGATTTGTGATTATCTATTTTGCTATTTCTGAATACACTCATGATGTAGCTTTAGTGATGTATTGTTTATATGGTGTCTTCATATGCTTCCACTCTCAAATCTCTTATAGGGATTTGAGAATTTCGGTTTCTTTGATTGTCTCTTGGCCACAGCCCTTGCACCGGCTATGCATCTCACCAAAAAGAATCCTCTCATACGAGTACCTCTCTTGTCTGGATTTCTCCAAGGTCTTCAACACATCAACAAACACAATGCAGAGGCGCTCCTTACAAGATTGAGATCACGTGACAGACCTTGAGAAAAGTCTTCTTTTAATATGTTATTCTCTTTATATTTAATAATGCTTTAGACTTTCTATTATCCTACAAGACTTCCGATAATTTAACTATGCTTATGGCTTTTATATATCTCTAAGCCGTGAAAATTATCTTTCTTGTTCTAAATCAATTACAATTTGGGTATCGATTTTCGAATCCAATCAAGTCTATTCTGATTTGGCTCGAATTTTTCAAATTTGGAATGTTTTTTTTAATTCAATTTTTTCATTTTTTACTTACAATGTCTCGTTGAAAGAATAAAAAAACATAAATCAATCCCCAATAATACACTACATTACGAAGTATATTAATAGAGTTATCAAATATCAATGTGGAAAATAATACTTTTGCATCAAACATAATAAAGTAAAATAAAAATTACCATTATCTTAACCATTCCGAAAGTCATTTTGCCAATGTGGTGGTACTATACATCGTAATATATAGAAGTATCTGTTAAGACCTAAGGTTCTATCCTAAAAGGTCAACCTGTTAGGAGGAGTAATTGTTTCACACGTGCATCTTCACCTAAAGTCTTATATAGTTTTAATTGTTTTATAGCTTTTCGGTGTGGGACATGTTTTAACACGCCCCCTCAGCCCGAACTGGGCTGGACAGTATCTGGGTGTATAAACGGGCCAAATCCTTAAAAAGCTACCCTTAATCATGGATGATAAACAAGTCGTCAAACCACAACCGGAATTGGCTCTGATACCATGTTAAGATCCGGGGTTCCATCCTAAAAGGTCAACCTGTTAGGATAAGTAGCCCAAAGTCTTATATAATGTTTAATTGTTTTATAGCATTCCAGTGTGGGACATATGCTTTAACAATATATATAGAGGTGAGATCACATACAAACTAGTCCTCTCATGCTAATGTACAAACTTTCACAAACTGTGCATCTTCACATAATTTGTACTGCATATTGAAGTTCAAAGTGTTGCATATTACTTGTATTGCATATTGAAGTTCAAAGTGTTGCATACTATTTCTTTTACATATTGAAGTTCACAACGTGCATCTTTACATTATTTGTACTGCATATTGAAGTTCAAAGTGTTGCATATTATTGACTTTGTAAGTTAGTATTTTAAGCATGGTTTGTATTTGATCTCTTGTATATATATATATATATATATATATATATATATATATATATATATATATATATATAGGGAAGAGTTCAAATGAAAAGTGGTCTTCCCGTGCAAAGTGCAAAATTTTCACTTTTTCATGTTTCGCTTGCACTTTTTGTTGTTTGCGTTGCACTTTTTGGCCATTTTGATTTTGGCCAAATTCGGCCAAAATGACGGTGGCAGTTTTGTAAATAAACCAATTTTTTTGAGCTATCGCGAAAAAGTACAATGAAAGCAAGAAAAAGTGCAAGTGAAATATGAAAAAGTGTAAACTTTTCACTTTTCACGTTAAGATCACTTTTCATTTGAACTCTTCCCTATATATATATATATATATATATATATATATATATATATATATATATATATATATATATATATATGGGAACTCTTCCGGTAAGGTATACCTTACCGGAGCCGCCGTGCGGCCTCCACGTTTTGAGGGCCTTCCCGGTGGAAGTTTTCGATGAAAATTTTTGAGCATATTCTTCATCAAGTCTAGTACATCCATACCAAACTTCAGCAAAAAATTCAACTGGGAAGGAAGTCAAACGATTTTTGGAAGATAACTGCGTTTTATATATATAAGAGAGATCAAATACAAACCATGCTTAAAATACTAACCTACAAACTCAATAATATGCAACACTTTGCACTTCAATATGCAGTACAAATTATGAAAGATGCATACTGTGAATTTCTATATGCAATACAAATAATATGTCACACTTTGAAGTTTAATATGCAGTATAAATAATATGTAACACTTCAAACTTCAATATGCATTACAAATAATGTAAAGATGTACTATTTGTGACAATACATGTGATGCGTTAAATTTGAGATCTAATGGTAGCTATCAGGCCATTTGGACCTGGGGGTAGTCCGTAGTATTAGGAGTCCAAATTGTTAAAGATGGAATTTTTGAACTCCTAATTTCATATAATGGTAGGCTAAATAGGGTATTAAAATTTGAAAAGAGGCTAAATATAGGGTGTGTTGGTAGGAGTGAAAAAAAAGGCAAAGTAAAAGAAATAGGGAAGGGAATGGCGGAGAGTGCATTGCATGGATGATGGATGTGGGGATGACGTCATCCCTACGTCACATAATCCCATTTTTTTAACCTTTATAACTTTTTTTTGTTCTCCACATTTTTCAAAAAATATACTTCGTATCAAAATTCATGAATTTTTATTATCTTTTATATGACAACAATATATAAAATGCAAAAAAAATCTAAAGTGTTAACTATTGGAGCTTTCTTGAACCTCAAAAAACACAACACAAATTTTTAATTCATTAAGCCTCTGCAAATAAATGAATATTCCATTATAAAACCTTACTTGGACGTACTAATTTCATTTTTAACTGAAAAATGTTAAAAAAATAATGAAATTTATTTATTTTTACATTGGAATATGTATTTTTTATTTCATAATTATTTAGGGATAATATAAAATTGGAAATATTACTTATAAATAATTTAATTAATGTTTTACTAAATTGATATGTGAAAAATATACTGAGTGTATTGTATTGACGGTGTTGGGATGCAAGAGATAGGAGTCTAAACACTGTTTTCATATGGATAGGGTCCATTTTTAACTTTTTAGCCGCTTAACTACAACAAATGGTCATAAAGTGCAAAAAATGTTTTAAAAAAGTGATGAGTGACGCGAGAGTAGTTTCGTAATGAACTCCAAATTTGCTGTCATTCGGTGGCGAACCCGGAAGTTTTCTGAAGCGGGGGCACTCCCGCATAGATGAAAATAGGTCTGATCGGGTCGAATGGGGTGTATCATTGTTCTTTTTTGTCAAGTGCGTTCAAATTATTTTTAACTGGAAATAGATGATTCAATGCCGGTTTGAAGCAATGAACATATATGCATTATAAGTTCAATTTTAAACTCATTAACACAATTCTAAACAGTAATATTTTGTTTATGAAAGAAAGACATAATTTGGATTAGAAATGATTCATCCTTGTGCCGTTTCTGATTTTACATTACAGTTCTCGTTATTTTTCATACTAAAAATGATCAAGATTTCATATCTGAACTGGGATCGTGTTGAATGCTACACATTGTGCCACAAAATTTGTTGGTACTTGTTTGAAATATAATACTATTGTGTTAAAAATGAAGTATAAATCAAGTTTATGATTTCATCCTTTAACAAAACTTTATTTATTTATTTATTTATTTTACTCCAGGAGGTGTCTGGGGAAGGGGGTTGGGGGGCCGGGAGTAAACTGGGTTGAAACTCACTCCATTGAGTTTCAAACCCAAGAACTCCTATAAGGGAGTGTGTGTCAGCAACCAGCTGAGCTGGACCGCTTCCTTATATCTTATTTTTATCATACTATAGATAAAAAGATTTGAAGGGTCTGTCGGTTTGAAACTAATTTATTGTGAATTGACACATTTTTTATGTATGAAGTTTTATTCAACATAAAAGTTTTCAATCTTTTAAGTTCATCCCACATTTTAGAATCCTTATCATATCTTTGATCTTTAACTTTGGACAAACAATATTCACACTAAGTAAGAAAATCATCAATGTCACTTTTCAAAGAAAGTGTATTAACCATATCAACAACATGTATGTCTAAGTATTGTTCCATCACAACTTCCTAGTTGTTTATATCTACTCCATCACAACTTCTTAGTTGTTTATATTTCTTATACTACAATTGGTATATGTCTTCGACGAAGTCCTATATATCTAATAGTTTTTTGAAATAATGACAATATGATTGAAATAAAGATAGTGGACAAAAACATGACTTAGTAACTACCATAATAATTTTAGTGACCACAATTGTGTTCAAGTCTATCAATAGGGGTGGAAATAGGTCAGGCGTCCTGTCAGGGGCATGCGGCCTGACTTGTTTACTAATCAAGCTAGGCTCGGGCTTTTTGAAAAACCCGTTTTTTAAATAGGTTGGGCTTAGCCCAACTGTGAAGGCTTTACAGGCCGGCCTATTTACATGTGTGTGTGTGTATATATATACATATATATATATATATATATATATATATATATATATATATATATATATATATATATATATATATGTGTGTGTGTGTGTGTGTGTGTGTGTGTGTATATTTAGTTATATTTAAATTTATTTGTATTATTTATAATTATATATTAGTGTACTTAATTATAGAAAATTAGACATAATAGTATATTTAATTTATGGAGTATGTATTATGAATTAGAATACTCGCTATTTCAAATATATAAAGTATTTTAATAGGTTATTAGGGTAATTGAAAGTCAAAGATTTCAAGATTTAAAGCACATAAAAATTATAAGCTACATAATTAACATATTAAAAAAATTGACGCAGTATAAATATACTATGAGGTCATGAGGACGTCGTGTGCAGCTGCCTCCATCTCCTCATCGCTCTCATCATCATCATCATCATCATCATCATCATCATCATCACCTGCTCGGTGTCCTCCCCCTGCTGCTGCCGCCGTAGGGGCCTGTGCCCTCCTCCTCGCCACTCCAGTTTTGACCTCGGGGAGTCGGGTCAAAGCAAGAAAACTGGAGCTCTCCTCCATCCTCTGACACCGGTCTCCAAAGCCCATCTTAGTCAGAAGTCGCGTGATGAACGGGCCAGCATAGATAGCCTTGATATGGTTCGTGGCCTGGCGGTGGAGGAGCTTGGCAAGGAGATAGCCCATGTGGGGCTTGCGGTTGTGGATCATGCAGTAGAGGCAGAATAGGTCGGTAGAAGTGACCTTGCCGGCAACCTCGGCTTTTCCGGTGATAGTGGAGGAAAGAAGGGCGTGAATGATGCGGTACTGGCGTGGATAAAGCAGTGTGCTAGGGGACATCTTAGGCCTATACGTCCCACCCTCTCTCGAAATAGAATCCCAAAAAGCTTGGCGGTTGACACCGCGGGGAAAGTGTCAAAATGGCTTCATGCTGGCCATTATCCTCAATCCCAGTAAAACCCAAATGATAAAGCATCTCTGGCATGGAGATGGCATGCTCCTCTTCAAATGCCCGGAACTTGATGACGGGCCTATGATTGTCCTCGACAGGAATGACCTTCGGCATCTTGAACGTAACCAAAACCTCGCATGTGATCTCCCTAAATGTCGAGTCTCTAATCTCGAAGAACAGATGCCTCCATCACCCTCGTCTCAGGAGGTGCATCACCTCATCTCTCACTCCAGCTGTTGTGAGTGAGGCCTCGTCAGGAAAGTACAAGGTGCCCATGCTCTTCTGAAGCAGCTCAGTGTATTTCAGCTCGTCCCTCAGTTGTGGGAACCCAGGTTGGTACCGGCCAGCATTACCCCTGCTGGAACTGGCACCCGCACCTCTGGTGTGCTTTTGTCTCGACGGTATCTGTCAAAACAAATCAAAAACAAGAATTCCAACGGGCATCCAAGTGTTAGAACCAAACTCACAAGTTATTGTAATGGCCCCGTCAGCAATTAATCTACCAAGCATCATCATATTAGAACATACCCAAGTTTAACCAGAATAGTTGAAAAGTTTGAACTTTTATCAAAGAAAAGTTCTTTGAATAAAATTCAAGTTTTCAACGACACACGGTATAAACATGGTCATTAGCAAGCATCATTCATCACCACAATGATTTGTAGAATGAAGTTCTTCCCAAAAGAATTAAGAAGAAAATCAAATTAGGAGAAGAACTTTCAATTCTCAAATTTGACATGGTTTGGCCTAAAAATTGGGGATTTATGCTCAAATAGCCTCAACAACCATTATTAAACATCACAAGCAACAATTCCATTCTTAATTCAAGTAAAAAACACAAAATCCCCAAATTGTTCTCATATTCAATAAATTCAACCCTAAATTGGCTAAATTAACTCAAATATTATGGGTTTCAAGCCAGAGAGGCAAATTCATCAACGTATAACATCAAAAGCAATAAAACAAGCCTCAAATTGATTATAGATAAACAAACCCCTAATTTTTCGAGCTCATGCAATTTCGGATTTTTCAAAGCTTCACAACTTCCATTTATGGAGAAAAGAAGAAGGAGGAAGGAGATACCCTTGTTGAGGAGTAGGGAAGAGAGAGAAGGGGGGTGCAGTGGTCGTCGGAGTTGCGGTGGCGTGCGGTGTTGCTCGGTGGTCGCAGTTGGTCGCGGTTCGCAGAGAAAATTCGACGGGGGGGGGGGGGGGGGGGGGGGCTGCTTCGTTGTTGTCGCGTAAGAAAGAAGGGGAAGGGGCTGGGTTATGATTTTAAATCGCGGGGGTATATTTGTAAAATCGTCCAGGCACGATCGTGCCCAGCCCAGACATAATCGTGCCTGGCTGGCAGTAGGCTTGCTCCTCTAGCGTCATCTAGCTTATCAGATCAATTCTTCCTATGGGTCTCAACAGTCTTCTCAAGGATGGTCTTAATGTCCCTATTTGAGTTCTCAACTTGACCACTAGTGTGAGGGTGATAAGGGACACCCCCTTTATGAGTGACTCCGTACTTTTCCAGAAGGCGAGTAATGGGATCATTCCTAAAGTGAGTACCCCTGTCACTTATCAAAACTCGTGGCACTCCAAATCTAGAAAACAACTTTTTCAGAAAACGAATCACAACTCTAGCATCATTTGTGGGTAGAGCTTCAGCCTCAACCCACTTAGAAATAATCCACAGCAACAAGAATGAATTTATTACATTTAGAACCCGGGAACGGTCCCATGAAGTCAATGCCCCAAACATCAAATACCTCACAAGCCAATATAAAATTCTGGGGTATCTCATCCCTCTTGGTAACCGCCCCTGGTGCGTTGACACCTGTCACATTCCTGCACAAAAGTTAGAGCATCTTTAAACAACGTGGGCCAGAAGAAACCACATTCCAAGACCTTACGGGCTGTTCGGTTAAAAGAATAGTGTCCCCCTAGTTGGTCCGGAGTGACAATGTTTAAGAATCCCAACTCCTTCACTAAGGGGAACACATCTTCTAACAACCTGATCAGCACAAATACGAAACAAATCTGGTTCCTCCCAGAAATAATACTTCAAATCAGCAAAAAATTTCTTTCGTTGATGAGGTGTATAATCAAAAGGAATAACACCCCCAACAAGATAGTACCCTCAATATCTCTCTCACTCGGGGAATCAAGAAAGGGGTTCTCTAACCTACTCAAGTGATCAACCGCTAAATTCTCAGCCCCTTTCTTATCCCTTATCTCAATATCAAACTCGTGTAGTAGTAACATCCACTGATGGAGTATATAGACTCGGACCCCCGGGTCTCATGACTATTGGGCCCGGACAGCGGCCCACGTACACTCAGCTGATAGCATTTTCATTATTGTACATTTTTATTATTATTCAGGTGTTCTAGATTAGCCTTTTATATTATCAGTCCATTTATGTAACCGGGTCTGTCAGGCCCATATTAGAGGCCCAAACCCGAATATTCTTCTATATATACTCCCTTAGAGAGTTCTTGTAAACATAATTTCACAACTCATAATTCATACATAATATCATTTCTACTATTCATCTTCCTCACATTATCTCAAATCTCTCCATTTTATTATAGTTTGGATACTCCTATAATCCATCAATGGTGCTTTCATTGAGAGATTAGAGCAAAATCAAGTTAGATTCCTCCCAAAATCTTCAAAAACTCATCCAAATCACAAAAAATCAACCAAAAATGTTCTGCAAAATGCAAAAAAAAAAAGAATCTGGATTTTTTTTCCCAGATCTGCCGGAACTGTCTTCTCCCTCCAGCTACACCGTGCTTTGGCGTTGGTGGTCGCAGCTCGCTGCTCCTCTTTCCGTCGCAGCGCCACTAGGCCCCCCAATCCCCGGCTCCATCTCCTGGTCACACCGGCCCCACAGAGAAGGTACCAAGCCGCGATACCTGTTCGGATCCATGGAGCTCCACGCCTGAGTCAGAACGACGGTGTTGCCTTTCCTTCGAACCAGTCAGAAAAGCAGCTCGCCTGAGTTGCATCACCACCGGTCGTCGCTTGTCGGCAGCGGCTAATGCAACTTTGCTCCACTTTCACGCCACTCGCCTCCTGCCACGGCAGGCTGAATGTAGCTCAAGCTGCAAAACACGGGAGGCCCTCACCGGAGAAAACCATGAACAAGCATGAATCCTTCCCTCCTCTCTAAGGGCAGAGACGACGAACTTCGGTGAGGCCTTTGTCAACACAGCCCAGATCCGAAACCCCCTCTCAGATGGCGGCTCACGGCGAATTTTCCCTTGTCCGACAGATCTCACCGAGGGCCATCCTTGTCCGCGACACGCCGGCACAAGGGTTCTCCACTCAAGAAAAGGTAGATGTTGACTCGGTCAACATTTGTTTTCTAATCTTCCCCTTGCTCCATCTCATGTCTGGCGAGGAAGAGAAAGCGGGAGGAGCTCCATGGCTGTCAAGTGTCAACTTCTTTGCTAGAGAAGTTTGGGTCCAGACTTCAGCATTATGGGCCACAGAAGCATCGTCAGTTTATATTTTTGTTGGGCCGGACTTGTTCAATGATCATCTTGTCCAAACAACACACTTATTGAGAGCTAAGTATTCCAAAACTGGCTCCATACAATTTATATGTGGACATATTCGATAAAATGATTTGCAAAAAAAATCATAAATGAAATATTTTAATAATATAGCATAAAGCTTCAATCTCGAGGGGCGAGTCATCCGTGAAAAGACCCATAAATAGCGTCTAGCGGATCCCAACTACGAACTTGAGTGACAAATTGAGCTAGATTATTAATTTACTATCATTATTTTTTTTAAATAGTGTGTATTTTTTGACATTGAGAAAACGGACTTATGAATTCCGAGCACTCGCGTACACCGGGCGAACACAATCACTCGCGCCACCGGGTCACGTGAAATGAGTGTGGATAGTAAGCTCTCAATCCAAATGTCATCAAATGCATACTTTAGTTTCTATGTTTTGTATGAGTTATGTGTGCCCTCTAGCTATCGGAAATGAACTGCAATCCCTCAGCGGTAGGTTCAGTCCTTTATGCGTGCCACGCTCCAACTAAGCATAGAAACCTAGCTTGAGCCGCAGCTTGGAAATTTGAGGCAACTTAATTTAGGCCCAAATCCAATAGCAAATTATAAGCTCAAGAAATTATAACAATTTTATTTGAATGCATAGGTGCAACTAAATGATGACATCTGATCGGGCTAAACTTGCAAGTGTACAAGTGCCGATATAGTAATAAATTCCGGTAAAATACCGGGTCGAATCCACAAGGAAACGTTGTTTAATTCAAGTCCGAGAGTAGATAACGTTAAATGAAGAATTGAATAAAGTGCAGGGATTTTGATTTGTGTTTTTATATTTTTGGTTTTATCACTTTTTGTTCAACAAGATAATCGTTAACTAACTTTGAGTTCAAGATAAATGATAACAACAACTAAGGCTTCGGGAATCACTTAAATGCTTAAATAGGGTTGAATATTAGTTCTTTGCCAATAATTATGAATACGATGTCGCTAATATATTCTCAACTCCGGTTAAGGCAGCGAGAGCGTGGTTTTCGTTACGTGTAAGTCCCGTTACGGCTTACATTCATCTACCGAAAACCCCGTTGAATATCAAGACATCACACCCGTATCATATAAGACCGGATATATTTCTATTCTCGGTACTACATATGTTTATCCTTTAGTGTTCATAGTTTAGACTTCAACGTTAATTGCAAGTATAAACTAAATTTAACATACTTCTATGTTGTACACCATGGTCATAAACAATCAATATATAAAGGATAAATCACAATTTATTGGTTTAGAACTTTTATCAAACACCTAGTGGGCATAGAAGTTCATCCCTAGCCTTAGCTAAGAAATTAGCCTCTAATGCTCATATTAATCACAATACAATAATAAATGTAATGGAACATGAAATTACAAAGGAAATAATACCTAAACACCAATGATTTCGGAGGATGAACTTCCCTCCTCAAGAACTTGAAGAAAATATCAAGAACAAAAATATAAAAGCTAAGAATTAATCTATGGAATGGAATATGTTTGTATGATGAATTGAGGGCTTTATATAGGCTAAATAATGACATCTTTTAGTCTATTCGAACCCAACAATGAGGTATGGAAGCAATATTTGATTAGCATTGAGGAAGATGGGGTTTTCCCATCAAGAATCAGCTTGCACGATGCTGTTTTTAGCTGAAAATCGACCCAACCGGCGCCGGTTGGTCAGATGACCGGCCCCGGTTGAAAACAGGCTCATTTGTGCTAGAAAAAACGTTCCGACCGGCGCCGGTTCAAGACCGACCGGCGCCGGTTGCTGCGCCCAAAAATATACTACATTTCTCTTCCTCCGAAATGGATCAAAAAGTGTCGGTTTTTGTACCGGGATTTTGGAGATGTTCCGCTACGAATTTGGACATGATTCCTTCATCAAAGTTGTATATAATGAAGTCTTCTATCCAACAAAACTTGAATGACGTGATTTTATTCATCCAATCAACAGATATGGATAAAACACTGAGAGGTATGCATCCTGAAATCCCACCAGCGACATCTGACTTTATCGGTTGATTGAGTATTGTTCCTTTCCTATTCTGGCCATGATGTCTTCATAACATTTGTACCTTATTGAGTTACCATTCACATGAAATTTTAATGGAGTTATTTCGAGTTCTCTACAATACGTTATACTCAAATGATGGGCAAAACGTCATCCTTTTGGTCCCAAAAGCGGTTCATCACAATGTTTAATGCTCTAACTCTCATTCTCAAGATATTTTCCCAATTTCTCTTCTTTTCTTCAACAAATACTTATAAATACTTATGTTAAACACAAGTAAATATAACGGCTATCAACATCATACCGGCCACTTGGCCGTCTCTCCTGATCATCTTTATTTGATGGCTTGGACTTCTTATAGGCCTCTCGGCCACATGTCTCGGTCACTTTATTTGATGACCCGGACATCACATTATGGACGGTCACTCAACCTATCTCTTAGTCATCTTTATTTGATGACTAGGACTACTTATCATGCCGAGCTACTCACATCTAGAGACTGATCTCGGTCATCCCCTCAGCAGACGGGCACCGTTGCAGCTCCACACCTAGGTCGAAGGGCTCACCCCTTTTTGCTTCATTTTGGGGGCATCCGGTGTACTCTTTTTCCCTCATTAGGATTTTTTCCCACTTGGTTTTT